GTCAACAAACTCAGGGACAAGGGAGCAACAAGTGATCTAAAATCAATGGTGAGGGCGGTGTAGGATGCCTGGTGGGGCTTTATTAAGGGCATTGTAGCCAAGAGGAATTACTGAAACCCAAATGAAGGCCAAAGATAATAGTGGGACAAGAGGAAAGTAAAAGGAAATAGAGGAAAGAACAATGAGGCAAAGGATATTCATAGAGATCTAAAAAAAGGCATGTATATATGTAAATATATTTATATATAACAATAGGGAAATAGATCTATGTACATATATTTATGTTAAGTATTAAGGTAGAAGATCGACATTTGGGCCTCTACTCATGTACTCCCTCTATGCAAGAACACTTTGTCCTAATAACCAGGCAGTCTGTGATGCTTACCTCTTCTGACACGATTACTGAAGACAAAATGGGTGCACAAGCAAATATGTTGAAGAAAGCTGATGGTGCCCAGCTATCAAAATATAGAGAGTCTGGGGTCTTAAAGGCTTGAAGATAAACAAGTGCTCATCTAGCTAAAAAACAACAAAGCCCACATGGAAGAAGGACACCAGCCCATGTGATCATGAGGTACCGATGGGATCAGGTATCAGGCATGAAAGACCCAGAACAAAAACTCATATCAATGTGAATGAGGAAGAGTGCAGAGTGGAGACCAAAGCCCATCTGTAGACAATTGGACATCCCCTTACAGAAGGGTTATAAAAAATAGATGAGCCAGTCAGGGTGCAGACAACTTTACTCTAGTTCATCGGTTCACAGCCTGTGGATTGCGACCCTTTGGGGGAGTAGAATGACCCTTCCACAGAGGTAGCCCAATTCGTAACAGTAGCAAAATTAAAGTTATAAAGTAGCAATGAAAATAATTTTATGGTTAGGAGTTCACCACAACACGAGGAACTGTATTAAAGGGTCGCAGCATTAGGAAGGTTGAGATCTGCTCCAGTTCTTTAATGCTTCCTCCACCACCACCACCACTATCATGACCCCAATTCTAGCTTACAAATCCGGCTATACCAGAGCATGTACATTGATACAGATAAGAGTTGGCAACACAGGGAATCTAAGACAGATAACCCCCTCACTACCAAAAATAAGAGTGGTGATACCAGGAAGAGAAAGGGAAAGTGGGGGGAGAAAGGGGAAACCAAGCACAGTGATCTACAGATAACCTCCTCCCAGGGAGACAGACAACAGAAAAGTGGATGAAGGGAGACAGCAGTCAGTGCAGGACAAGAAAAATAATAACCATTTATAAATCAGCAAGAGTTCATGAGGGAGGGAAGAAGGGAGTGAGGGAGGAAAATGAGCAGATACCAAGGGCTCAACTAGAAAGAAAAAGGTTTGCAAATGATGATGGCAACATATGCACATGTGCGCTTGACACAATGGCTGTATGTATGGATTGTGATAAGAACTGTAAGATCTCCCGATAAAATGATTTTTTTAAAAAGTCTGGTGCAGCAGATGCACTATGTCATTTGCTCTCTTGACTGCTGCTCTCATGAGCATTGATTTTGGATCCAAGTAAGACTAAATCCTTGACAACTTCAACCTTTTCTCCATTTATCATCATGTTACCTATTGGTCCAGTTGTGGAGATTTCCGTTTTCCCTACATTGAGTTGTAATCCATAAAGAAAGCTGCATCCTTGATCTTTGTTAGCAAGTTCTTCAAGTCCGTGTAACATTCAGCAAGCAAGATTGTGTCATCTACATATTGCAGGTTGTGAATAAGCCTTCCTCCAATCTAATTCCACATTGATTCTCCCTCTGATTAATTCCTCCACATATAGATTGAATAAGTATCATAATGGGATACAATCCTGACACAAACCTTTCCTGATTTTAAACCATGCAGTATTCTCCTGTTCTATTCCCACAACTAGTTTTTGATCCATGTGCAGCTTATGTGATTCAACATAAACACAAAGAAGTGTTCTATGATTCCCATTTTTCTCAGCTACCTAAAATCCGTTATGGTCCATAATCAAATGCCTTTGAATAGTCAATAAACCACAAGTGAACATCTTTCTGGTATTCTCTGCTTTCAGTCAAGAGCCATCTGATTTCAGCAATGATATGCCTTGCTGAATGTCCTCTTGTGAATCCAGCCTGAATCTCTGGCAGCTTCCTGTCAATGTATGCTGCAACTATTGTATGATCTTCAGCAAAATTTTACTTGCATGTAATATAAATGGTATTGTTCTTTAAGTTACACATTTTAATCACCTTTCTTTGGAATGGGTACAAATAAGGATCTCTTCCAGTCAGTCATTCAAATAGCTATTTTCCAAATTCCTTGGCACAGACACGTGAGAGCGTCCACTGCTGCATCAGCTTGTTGACACATTTTCATGGTGTTCTATCAATTCCTGGAACCTTATTTTTGTCCGAATGCTTTCAGTGCAGCTTGAAATTCTTCCTTCAGTGCCATTGGTTCTTGCTCATATGCTGCCTCTTGAAATTATTTTATTAGTTGATGATTTTACTCTATCCTTTTAAGTGTTAATATGATGGATTACATGAATGGATTTACATGTGTGTCCATCTATGCACATAGTTTTTTTAATCAAATTATTCTGTGTGGGTTAGCATTTAAAATAACTATTTTCTGATTCTTATTTCCCCATATTCAACTCTTTAGATATTTATTCTATATATTCCCGTGCATAATACAGTAAATTATTTGCTGTGGTCCTTCTAGCTGTAGCCGCATGACTACTGTCAAATGATTAGGTGGGACTACACAAATGAAGTGCTTGTGCCCTACCAAGAGGATAGGGTGGCTTGCAAAGTATGTAAAGATGATACATGGAAACTTGAGAGATCAGAACCATGCAAATAAGGTGCATGACCGCTTAACCAGGGGTTTGGTCATTTTTGTCATATTGCTGGGCTTAAAATGAGCCACCTTGGAGATGGAAAGGTGGGATCACTCCAAAAAAATAAGAATGAAAATTAAGTGCATCCTTTGGACCCAAGATCCCTGAACCAAACACCTTTTCAACCCAGGAAAGAGTGAGCTATGACTCCTGGGATGACAGATGCAGCAGCAAGAATGAGCAGCAATAAAAGCAGAGGCCTGCAGGCTATAGCTCAGTAGGCTTTGCGGCCCACTACAAAGAAATAAAGCAAAAATATTGAGCACCTTTGGGCAGGTATTTACTGGCAGAGTGGGGTACCTCCAGCCCACTGGCTTCTGCTCTATTTAGGAAGTGTTACAAGATCTTTTAACTCTGCCAATAAGTGGCCAGAGTGACTCCATTCCACCAATAAGCCTAACCCTGAAGACCTTCCATTATTGCTCTGTGAACTTTCAATCAACTCCATCAACTGACTAGAAGCACCTTCAGAAGGGCATAGCAATAATCCAGGAAAGAGAAAGCAGTTGGGATTATGGTGACTGCTATGTAGGTCTGAAAATTAACTGACATTAGGAGAAATAGGATACAGATATAGATGTATCAAATAAAAAGTCATCATTTATTCATATCATTTATTTACATCATTTATTCACAACTACATGCAGTTTTATGTAGTTATAATTGAATAATATTAACTCGACAAAATCACCAGCATTTACATAAAGTTCTATCAACAGGTTTTGTTCAATTTGTGCTATTACACAATTAAATACAACTTAAAATCACTTAACAAAACCTCTGTTAAAAATATCAACTTTAAGCATGCACACACAACACATAAATCAACACAATGTTCTCACTAACACTCAGGTCACCAATATCTAATTTACAAAAGTGATAGTTTAAATAGTAGTGGGAAAGTTGGGTGAAAAAGCTGTTACCTATTGCTTAAGATTTCTTCAAGTTTGACCAGGAAATATAAGCAAATTGAGCAGTTTAAGAAGGACGACACGATTCTGTTGAAACTGGAGGCAGCTGTTGCAGAATGAACACTACAGACAAAAGTAACACTCCAGAAGAATAAATCCCAGTTTGTTACAACAATGCCTTCCTTGCTAGTTTAAGCCACAGCTTTATGTCTCTAAAACCCATAGTGAAAGTTTACACAAAATGGTTTAGAATATAATTCCAGTTAAAAGTAAAAGAAGCAATATGATGCCACTTCAAATTATGAAGAAAGCATATCCCTCTGGTCACGCACTCCTGCCTCCAATGCCGACTCCTAGCGACCCTATAAGACAGGGTAGAACTGCCCACGTTGAGTTTCTGAGACTGTAACTGTTTACAGGAGTAGAAAACCCTGTGTTTCTCCGAGGGGCAGCTGGTGGTTTCAAACTGCTAACCTTTCAGGTTGCGGCCAGCGTGTAATCACTACATCACCTGGGCTGCTAATAGCTCTGTTGGCCAGGTAAATTTCATTAAGCCTCTCAATTTGTTTTGATTTCCTGATGATGTTGGGGGGGAAATGTTAAGCAACAACCTTTTAACTCAACTTTTTTAATACCCTTTAAAACATACAAAGATAAATAAGGCCATTGGGACCAAACAAGCTTTATGATACGGCATGCGTCTTCTATTGCATTTAGTATCGTTTGGGTATTGACAGGCAACTCCAATTGACAGTGATGGAATGGTAGCTCTGCGTCACAGTCCTGTTCTAGTTCTCTCATGAACTGGCAATGAGAAATTGAACACTGAGCATCTCTAGGGTTTGTTTGTTTGTCTGTTTGTTTTCCCCAGTTGTAGAAAGAAAGACGTTTGGTTACGATAGGCTGCGCAGCTTTGGGAAGGCACTTGGGGTGAGGACAGGAGTACATTTTGTTGTACGTAGATGGACTCTGTTTTACATCTACACAATACAAGGATTAAGAACGACTCTGTTCTATTGTTCTGGATTTTTTCTCTCAGAGAACGTCAGTGTTACTCATGGCTGATATCATTTAAAAGCCCAGATCTAGAGCATCAAACAAGAACCGTTTTCTTTTAAAAAACAAACAAACTAGAAAGGACGTGTGATATTTTTATTTTAAAATGGTGTACCATGACCTGTCGGAATATCCCACCGTTGAATTTTAATCTGAGTAGAAGAAGAATGACAAAACGATTGTGCTAGTTAAGTCATTGTCTTGCATACGTAGTCACCACAAAGCGATGTAAAGTAAACACCTTGCAATTCTATCAAGAGAGTAAAGGTAACACAGAATGGTTCTCACAGAAAAGCCGCCTCCTTGCACCGAAACACCACACAGAGCCACGATGTCATGAGTGAAGTGAACAAAGCTCCATTAGCCTAATATGACCACAGATGCTTTAGGGCCCAGCACGTGTTCTCCACTCCCAAGACACATGCACAGCGTGCCCTGCTGGCTCTTCTTTTCTGTCCACATCACGAAGACCTCTGCAGGGGTTTCTAGTTTAACACTGTTCCAGGTGTCTTACAAATCCTTCTTTTCTTAAAGTGACAAGGAACATCGTTCCAGGCCCACGTGTCGTTGACGTTAACGAGGACAACACAGTGTTCTTCCTGATAGTTGTTGGGTTCACCCCTATGCCAGAATCTTAAAGGAAAAGAGGGGTGG